AAGAGATTTTGGAACCCGAAGTACCATATCTAAGTGCAATTGGGGCTTTATTTTACTTGGCTCAATGCACTAGACTCGACATCTCCTTCGCTGTTAATCTTTTGGCTAGATATAACAATGCACCCACACGTAGGCACTGAATGGTGTTAAAGACATTTTATGCTACCTCAAGGGTACGATGGATTTGGGCTTGCTCTATACTCGCAAATCTTCGAGTGTTGCCACCCTCTATAGTTCTCAAATTGATTCTCACCTTATTGGTTATGCAAATGTTGGATATCTGTTTGACCCACATAAGGCACGTTCTTAAACATGCTATATCTTTACCGTTGAAGACACCGCTATATCTTCAAGGTCTACCAAGCTAACGCTAGTTGTGACTTCTTCGAACCATGCTGAAATTCTCGCCCTGCATGAAGCATCGCGTGAGTGCTTTTGGCTGAGAGCAGTTATGGAACATATTAGAAGCACTAGTGGTCTTACTTCTGTTATTGACCTTCCTACGACGATCTTTGAAGACAATGCAATATGTATCGAGCAGTTAAAGAAGGGATACATCAAGGGAGACAACACCAAGCACATAGTGCCGAAGTTCTTTACTCTCACCAACAATAACAGCGTTAGAACATTGAAGTCAAGCAAATCCGTTCCCAGGACAACCTGGCCGATCTCTTCACTAAGTCATTGCCCAAGTTTACTTTTCAGAAGCTCATCCAAGGAATCGGTATGCATAAATTATCTGAGTTGAATTGCTTGTAGTTCTCTTATTTGGAAGTTATGTCTAACTCAAGGGCAGTATCTTGAAGCATATTCACTTGATCTTAATGTACTTTTTTCCTACGATTATGAGCATTTTTCTCATTGGGTTTTTGCTACCTACCTAGGTTTTGATGAGACACCCATCCTGGGATGATCATACTCTGTTGAGTTCACTACTTTCATCATGTTTGATGTTTGTTTTAGACATTATGCATACTTCTCACTTTTCTGCTTAGTCTATGGGTTTTTCCCATGCCTTGGGTTTTACCATAGCGAGCTTTTGTTAGTTTTTCTACCAATGCATACTTTCTTTATATTTGAGACTCGCGTTCACCCATTGTGCCGATGACTTCATCAACTATTCTACCTTATCAGCTGAAGATCTAATGTGATGGTTATTTGAGTATTTACACACTCAAGGGGGAGTGTTGCAATCATATTTAGGATAGGAATGTGATTGTGTAAAGCCTAGTAGATCTAGGAATATCTTTTATATTCCTATTAGTTTTTACCTATCTTACTACTATAAATAAAGGCACAATGAGGGTGATACAACACACACCTCACAATTAAATCTCTCTCTTCTCCTTCTTGCTACCGCTGGCCCCCTCTCTCTTTAATCCCTTAGATAGCTTAGTTAAATAGGCCTACAATAGTATGAACTTTTTTCAATTTTTCATTTTTGAGAAAAGGTTGACAAAACACATTATTGAAGAGTAAGATGGAGAGTCTCTAAATAACGGTTGTTTTGTGGATATATAGCTCAATGAAATGAGATATGTGTTACACCCCTTGGGGTTATCGAGTGCATGGTCTGGGTGATTGATCTATTCATAGAGGCAGGTGACCGTACAATAAGGAATGTCTAACCTTTACATTGCAAGGAGAATGCTATTTTAGGATGATTCATAGGTCTTTGGCCAAAGCATATAACTGAATGAATCAATGGAATGTGGTTTAGGCAAAGTGACGTGGAATAGCCTAAACAAATGACTAAAAATTGAGACTGATTGCATTGCATTGTAGTAGTTGCAACATATTCTCTCCTTTAGTTCTCTATTGACTTAGGAGCTATGACATGTGTCAAGCTGTCACTTATAATATGTGAGGCCTTTGTTTCACTACCTTGTTAATTAGAACCTTACGAATCACGTAGCCTAATTTAGAATCAAGGATTATAAAGTTTATACGATGATGGAATAAGTAATATGATAATTATGTTGAGATTGAAATTAATTAATATTTATTAATTAAAATTTGGGTGCTTATACGTTTTAAATGGGCGTTGGAATGGTTTTGAATTCAAGTGGGCTCATTGGGCTTATACCGATTTAGAGAAATTAAGTCACTTGTTTCCAAACAAATTACAAAAGAAAAAAAAAGTGACTTGAAAGTATGATGGAGCTTAATTAAGAGGATTAAGGGTGCGTTTGTTGTATCAGACTGTCTCGGACTGAACTAGCTGCAAGGACTAAGTTGGACTAGCTTAGTGAAGCGTTTGGTGCATTGTCGGACTAAGAAGCAGGATAATGAAAATTCTAGTTTTTTTTTTTTTTTTTTTTTTTTTTTTTGGAAAACTAATAAAAATTCTAGTTAACATTTGCGAATTGTGAATAGGGGAAACTGGAATGTGAATAGGGGGTGGTGGAATGGCACAACCATAGTGCAAGGTGGTCTTAAAATCTACACTACAAATGACAAGAATGAGATCACATTGATGTGGGACGTTGTCAACCCTTCGATCATCTCAAGCATGATAGTGATGGATAGTTTTGCATTAATCAAAGAATTTAAACGGTATCAACAAAATCAGGGGTGGAAACTAGTCTGGTCTAAACCCTTGAGCAAATGCGAGTTTTATGGCTCGTGTGGAGCATTTAGCATATGTGACCCCTTAGGAACTTACGGCTTGAGCGAGTTCGAGTGCAAATGCCTCCCAGGGTTTCAACCCTTGTTGGAAGTTGAGTGGAACATGAAAAATGCATCAAGTGGTTGTGTGAGGAAGCACGAGGCATGCAGAAATGGCGAAGGTTTCATCAAAGTTGCCAACGTGAGAACTCCTAACACATCATGGGCACTGGTGGATACGAATTCGAGTTGGAAACAATGTGAGGATTAGTGCTTGAGAAACTGCTCTTGCTTGGCATACACAAAATTACAAGTTGGCTTAATTTACAAAATCCTGCTTCTTAGTAGATCCCCATAATTTACAAAATCCTAGTTAACATTAGCCAAAATATTTCACAATGCAAGGCTAAGTTAGAAGCCATAACCTAAGATTGTACGATTAACAAAATACATCCCATGTCAAAAGGTACCACATTGACGCATTGCCTTTATATTTGAATTGGGACATAATACATTGACAGCTTTCGCTACTTTAATCAAAGTACCTTGTTTGAAAGCACTTGTGTCACACCATTGCCTCCGAGCAACAAAATCCTCAAGAACATATAGTAATGATTCTTCCTCAGATGCTTCCCATTTACGCCTCCTTCCTTTTGGCTCTTGAGTAGCATTCAAATTATTGTTGTTATCCATACCTAAACAAAAAATATTTGAATGTACTAAAGTACAATACAAAGAATCAATTTGCATAATATCCAATCAATTTGCATACTATCCAATCAATGAATTGAATTACAATCAATGATGAACAATCCAATCATTTTGCTAATGTCCAACATATGCATGATAAAAAGGAAAACTAAAATAGGAAAACTGAAATAAAATGTTATCATTAACACATATAGCTAGTTTGATTGCTGGTTCCTAATTGCTCTCCACTAATTATACATTTCCTGAGCCATAACATTCCGCATTGCAGTCCAGTGGTCAGATGTTCCAACACTACCAACATATTCTCCTTTCCACCAGATGAATCTAATGCTAATTGGCTTTGTACTTTTTATCAACGTTATTGACATGTTTGGTCCAGTATAGATAAGTGCAACCTAATCTCATCTCAAGATGCTCATATTTGTAAAATAGCCTTATCCTGATTAAGATAAAAACATACTTCAACAATTAAATTCCTTACGGCATACAACCATAACATGTGATGTGAAGGCACAAAGGAAGCTATAACTGCGTAACCCCATAACAAGAACCCATTTAACCTCCTATAAGCTCCTCCCTCCTCCAGGTAGCAAAGAAAGTTAAATTGCACGCCACAAAGTATACATACAAAAATACAAATGATTTGATGCATGGAGCTACATGATAATTAAGTAGCCACATGTTAATTAAGCAACTTACTTCAAACAGTTACAAACCCACTTTGCTCCCACACAAATAAATGTAATTGGAATGGGTTCCAAGGGAATTAAAACCCTGAAAAAAAAAAAAGCATCAAGATTTAAGCCTGTGGCTCCAATCTAATAATTTAAAAAATTAGGATCAAAATAATTAGTTACTCCCAACGAAGAAAACTCAAAAGCAGAATGAATGGATTCCTAGTTCTTGGACCTCTAGTTACTCAAATTAATGCAAAGGTCTTACTAGTGATGTGCGACGACTCTCTCTCGCAGGATGAGCGAGGTTCTCTCTCGCAAAAGGTCTTACGAGTCCAGCCGAATTTGGGGTTCTTTGCTAAGAACTCCTAGCGAAGCCATTAATCCGAGCAAGTCCCCCCTAATCCCATTAAACCTAATCCTTGTGCAAATCAAACATGAGATTACACTAGCAATTAGTTTAGTCTAGCCCAGTCCTCTCTAATCCGGTCAAACAAACACTCCCTTACAGTTTTGGTTCTGCAAGCACAAATTCAAACATCTTTATTCTATTTCACTGGCTTGGGATCTTTTATTCTTTACGTACAAAAGAACTGAGTCATAAAAGGAAAACTCGTCTATCACGGCCTCATATGATAGTTTATTTTCTATCAATAACGTAATAAGAGAGGTAAATAAAAATAGTAGTGACCAAAAATGTTTCCTACAAAAACGGTCACACGATATTATGATCATGTAAATGGAAATGATTTTCTCCGTATTCTTTTCACTAAGTTCACTAACGCACACAATTTGGGTATTTAGAATTTAATCTAACAATTAAAGTTATCATAACTTTTAAAATGAATTCTTATTTATAACTATTTGATCAAATTTTAAAAGTTCAAATTACGTGCTGGAGTTGTGAAAAGTATCGGAGAGGATCCTCTTTAGATGGCCGTAATAACAAAAGTTAAAGCTCTGTACATAAAGCAGCTCGTTATTGGCCTCGGGTCAAAACAGCGGGTCCGAACCGAACCCAAAGTTCCAAAGTTCCAATGGCTGCTGCTGCGAAGGAAGAGCAAAAAGACGCGCTCGCCGAGTCCATCAACGATCTCTTCGGCAGCGTCTCCGCCGTGGTTAAATCAGAGCTCCAGGGATCGACCAACCACCTCGATCTTCTCGAAAAGATGAACATGCGAGTGGCCGAAGAGTACAAGGGCTTCGGCGACGTGGCGGCGGGGCTGAGCGTGTTCGTGGAGCAGCTCAAGGCCAAGAGCGGCAGCTTCGACGAGTACGTGAAGCAGATCGACGTCATCGAGCAGCAGGTGACGGAGTTCGAGGCGGTTGTTTCGGTGCTCGATAGATACGCGTCGATGTTGGAGTCCAAAGTTGAATCTGTTTATCAGAATCCATCGGCTTCCTGAATTGCAACGCGTTTGTGGAAATCGGGATTTATCGTTTGTTTTGTTTAACTTCTGTGGCAATGTCTACTTTTTTGTACAAATAAAAAGTTCCCTGCTTGTTTTTTTCCTTGTATAAAACTTCCATGTTCGTTATTAATTCGTAATCGGAATCAAAATAAAGAGTTGGATATCGATTTTATTTTTACATTTTGACCAAGCACGGATTATTTTCGTGTTTATTAATTATGAAGTTGGATATTAATTATGAATTATTCATGTGTTTAGTAAGCACGGATTATTTTCGTGTTTACTGAGTACGGGAGTTGGATTTTGATTCCGGATTATTCTTGTGTATTGGTAATTTGCCACACCAGATATATCTAAATTACTGTTGTACTTTCTAGCTTCAAAGAAAAGGTTCGCGCAAAATTGGTCCGATCAAATCCTTGGCTATTTGGGTCCCTCTGGCATGTTTGAAAGTGCTTTTGAAAGTTCTTTCAAATAATTAAAAGCGCTTTTGGATCATCAAATGCTCTTTTAAACCCTAAAATTCACAAGGCAAATCTTCAATAAACGAGAGTAATGGAATTCACATATCTTCAGGCCTCGCATTCCACCTTGACTTGCACCTTCTTCTCCCATCTGCGCAATAAAGCGGCGACAAACGCCAATGACGGAACCGGTGCTAGTTCCACAGGTAGCTTATTATCATCATCATCAACCCTGCAAATCCAGCCGTACAAAGGTCTAAGCCTCCGCGGTGCAACACTATCCGGGCAAAAAACAGTGATTGAGGGCTTAGCTGATGACACTTCATCGCCATTTCCACTTCCTGCATCATCCAGAAGAGAAGCATCCTTGTTTTCAGCACCGCCTTGTTTCTCAAGAATTGTTTCTATCAGGAGGGAGTAAGCACCTTCTTCGATAAAGGGCCATCCGGTTGTATCACCATCTTCCCCATAAACTTCCAGTAGTTCTTTCACTGTATCACAAACTAAATTCTCCGAAAAACCCATGGGTTTCATAGCATCAATCGCAGCACACATTCGAGTATTGCGTTTCCTGGGTCGTCCTCTTGGTCTTGGGGCCATTGTCAGAGTCGTAAACACTCTGAAACAGGAAAGTAGAGCCTTCCTAAAAATATGTGAACACACAAATGAGCTGGAGAGCCGGTTGGAGCTGGGAACTGACTAGCATGTACAAGCAAAGTCCAACGATTGATGAGCAGTTCCTGAAAAACCTGGAACTCCAAGTGAGTTGTCCACCATATTGGCTGATTTCCAGATGCAGTTATCTGTTTCACATTCAAGATTACAAATATATAATCATAAATTCACACAATAAACTACAAATCAAGAAAAGCGTATTGAAACTTCAGTCAAAAATCAATCGAAGAGGAGCTAAAGCGTGTCAAATTGACCCACGGAAGCTCAGACACCTCAAGACTTTCCATCATTTTCCAACACAAATCACACGAGAAAACTTACATTATAACTCACAAAAATCACTCCCCTTATGCCCATCAGTCCTTCCATTTGGGCAAGCCACCACCTCAAGTCAACATAGTTGTCATGAACCAAAAAATTCACAAGAGAGAACGAGAATGGAAATTAAAGCAGTACTCTTGTTAGTCCAAGCATGCTCGCACACGTGCGCCTGAATGCATATAGAATATAATCACATAGAAACTCCCTTGATTTCTACCCCAACACCCCTTCAAGTATATCAGGCTTTATGCATTTACTTTTGGTAAGGAATAAATTGGCTTAACCATATAAGATTGTTAAAAGAACTACTGAAGCTAGGGTTATTGTAAAGCTATTTGCTAAAAGAAATCAGCACAAATCATATAAAAATAATCCATTCCCGTCACCACAAACCTCTAAAAACGCAATCTTAAGTCGATAAGAGGGCGATGAACAACATTCAGAACTTCGCATCTGCATTAACCATAAAAACTAAGTACAGAAGCTAATGCATATCACTGGAAATCGTGCCCGAAAAACAAAGATTATTTGCCAAAGGAAACATTCTACATTGTTATTTTTGCTTGATGCAGATGTAAATCCAGACCATACTATGATAAATAAGTTATGAACAACTTAAGAGAGCTAGCAACCTGTAAAAAATTTCTTACCCATCAAAACGTGCAGTAAAAGCTCTTGGACTTTAACTTATCTCCATAAAGTTACAACCCACCACTGTAACCCTAGAGCTGAAACATATAACACACCAGGTTAACAAAATCTGAAACTTTTGAAGTTTTGGGATATTATTTACCAAATTTTAGCGTTTTCTATTTCTAAAACCCAAAAATAAATAAATAAATATGGATTCTGTAGTGTTTATTTCTGAAGCTTCTGATTTCAGAAACGATGGTTTCAAAAAAAAAAAAATACAAAAATACAAAAATGAGAGAAAAATGGCACATTTGCAATTACCCAGAAAAGTCAAAATTAAAAAAGGCAGTAGCTTTACCAATTAGAAACCTTCTACATACAGAGAACTGCAGCTTATTTCTTCCTTGAGTGTTTTTGAGGCCCGAAACGGTGCGTTTTGGGGCTACTGAACTGGGTTTCTGTTGAGGTTTGAAGAAGGAAAAGGAAGAAGGGGATGATGGTCAGTAGAGCGGTAGGTGTGACTGTCGCTGTAGGTGGCAACGACTGAAACGGATCAGCAAATATTTTCAGATAAGACAACGGACCTTGGGGCTAATTCGTGAATAGTGTTAAATGTGTAATGTCTGTTCCACCCCCACTAAATTACCGGAAAGCAAGGGTATTTTTGAATTTTCATGGTGTGGTGTTTGTTCCTGATCTACATTAGACCTGCCCGTAGGATGGACTGAGATCCTTGACTATTGGATTATTAGTCATTAAGGGGGCGTTTGTTGCGCCGGACTATCTCGGACTGGATTAGCTTCAAGGACTAAGCTGGACTGACTTAGACTAGACTAAACTGGACTAACTTAGTGGAGCATTTGGTGCAGTATTGGACTAAGAAGCTGGATAATAACAAATTCTAATATTATATTATTTAATATATAAATTATTAATATTTTATTATGATCTTATTTTTTTCTTCATCTTTTCCTACCATTCCGTCCCACTCTTTTCCTCTTCTCTCATCGTCCCACCCTCTCCCTCTTTTTTTCCTCTTAGACCTCTCAATTCATGTCTCTTTCTCATTCCTGGTCAAACTCCTTATTGATTCCAGTGTCTATTTCTCTGTCCTCCCTCCTTCTCTAGCTATGTGTTGTTCGAATGGAACCTCACGGCTCTAATTTTCCCGACGAGTTGCAGGTTTCCCGATGTGTTTTCCGGCCAACCCTCGTTAAATTGGATGAAGTTAGCACCACCAAAAACTTCATCACCATCCCTAGACCGAGATCTTAGCTTTGAATGCTCGAATCTGTCATGGATTTGAAGAAGCCCAAACAGGCCGAGACTTCCAGGCCATTTTCCGGCCACATTCGACCACATTTTGGCCTCTATTCAGGTAAAATCGTAATCTTATCATTCCCAGCTTCAATTTGGTATATTTTATATGAAAGTTGGTTGTGAAATGGATTTGAAAGGGAGTCGGAAAGTTAATGATTGATCTAGGTGACCGAAGATGACAAGGAGTTTGTCGGGAGTTGTCATTGAGCATGACGAGGACGAGAAAGAGAGGATAGTCTTAGCTAGTTCCATGGTTATTGGGGGGTCTCGCTAAGACCTCTTAGTGAAGGGTTTTGTCCATGCTAGTCCCCTTTAGTCTCATTAATGTTAGTCCCAGTATGGAACAAACACAGTATTGGACTAATAACTAGTCCAGTCCAGTCCAGTCCAACTTAGTGAGGGCAAACAAACACCCCCTAAATTCTTAGCTAAAAATCTAACGGTCATGAACCCAGATGCGTTTTGTGGCTTGCCGAGCCATTAATACAAGGGCTTGTGAAAAGTCTTTCTAATGACTTTGTATTAGTAAGTCATGACGGCATAATATCAGTAAACTCATTTCATCTAAATTCTCGATGTTTTAGAGAAACGGTTCCTTCCTTTAGTTATGTTTGTGATTACAGCTTATATAAACTTGCATTTTTTTATAATGAGATGTTAATTTGTATTTTGGTTATCTGTAAAGGAATTGTTCCCCAAATATTTACAAACCAAATTTACCGCTCAAATTTACAAGAATAGAATTAAGGGTAATGCTATCCACACACCTATTTTTACTTCTCACGCATCGTTCTCAATTTTTGACCTTCGGTTTGAATGAATTAACACAAAACCATCTTCACCACCAACCTGCAACATGATATGGTCCTCTGGCATTCTTTAGACTAGATACCGCTCGAATCAGCCACAAAGCTCTACATACTTCACACGAGCGAGGTGACGGATAGCTAAGGTATGAATTCTCAGCTAACTGTACTAACATATTTGTTTCTCAGCTTCGTACAGAAGCTTGTGCGATTATGTATCAGCCTCGGATTAGCTTCTGCAGCACAATGGCGTTGTAAACTCAAGAGTTCATGCTGAATATCTTACACTGGCATCGGGACTTCCTCAAGCTATACAGGTATAATGTGTCTCAGTCTCTATCAAGGTTCTCATTCAGCCTGCTTCCATTTTCTTGGTGCCGTAGATAGAAGCAGAGGGAGCACCATAGGCAGATCGCTAATTGAGGCGAAGGTAGTTGAAAATGAAGATGACTCTCCCATATATCAGTTGAAGAAATAAGGCGACTCTAACACGTCCCTCAAGTCAAAGTCACCCCGCTCAGGCAAGGGAGGGAAAGTTAATGTGGGAAAGGACTGCTGAAAGCTCTCCAACAACTGGAAACAAAACAGATAAGTGGTTAGATCAACAACTGTTTACATCTTTAAACAATGCACTTGTAATGCTTCACGATTCTTTTCAAATTAACTAGAAGGAAGAGAACTTCAGAATAGAAGACTACTGTACATTCTCTAGTATTGGAGTCTCATATAGTTCGACAAACTTTTGACGAAGTATTCTGTTCATTTCATCCACATCACAAGCGTGTGTCCAGTACGAGTCATGAACTCCTGTAATCATATGTTATTACACAGCCATTATAAGAGTGTACATTGTGTGTGCGTGTGTTAGAGAGAGCAGGGTCATTGAAATGGAGCACACAAGAACTGACCTGCAAAGTTTAAGCCTGCCCTTTTACAGGCAACCGCAGTCATCATCATATGAGAACTATCCAGGGAATGAACAAAATTTGGTGGGAACGCTGTCCGCTGCCTCTTGACCATGACCTATAATAGACAAAATATTCAGTTCGAGATCTGAGGCTCCGAGACTTCCAATCTTTGAAACGATGTCCATGTCGGTGATTCTCAATTTTTTTAGACCTTTCTGACCATAACCATGTGGCTAATTAAACATGTTGAAAATAAACCAACCATGCTCGTAGATGGCACGGCTTTTTTCCCTCTCCTTTCTTAGATAAAATAATAGATAGATCCTAGTTACCTTCCATACTTCAAAGGATGGCGGGAAAACTATTGATCTAAATTTTCTTATAGCATCCTTTAAATGACTATAGCTACAGTACCTTTTCTGTTTCTTGCTGTAACGTCAAAACTTGAAGGGAAGTTTTAATCTGCAACAAATTCAACCAGAAGCTATTAAACTTGATTTAACCTTTTAAGTAATTATGAATACAATAAAAAATATTGATGACCCTTGTTGACTCGGTGAAATTTTTAATACTCACAAGATGCCTGCTGAATTTACGGTAAGGTTGCACAACTGGAAGTCCAAGCGGAGTTGTCCATCGTACTGGCTCATTTTCAGATGCAATTATCTGAAAATCAAGATAAAAATTTCAAAACATCAGGAAAACATCGTGAGTGAGAAAGAAACAAAAGAAAAGAGGAATCTGGTACAAACCTTTGCACATTCACCAAGCCAGCTCATGATACTTCGTGCAGCTTCAAACATCTCACCTAGAGCAGTTAAGGTGATCTGCATATGATGTCGAGAATCGTTTCATTATAAAATTCTCATGAATACTGATGCACATAAGCGCAAGCATATGAAAATATTGTTACAAATTATGTGAAGACAAAAATTGACACCCTCACAACATGAACTTTCTGGTACCTTTGCAGCATAACAAGCACAACTAAAAAGCTCTACGTCATCTGAAATGGCACTGCGTTCCTTCAACCTCCTCTTGATTTGATCCCGAGCACCGATGTAAGTGACACCATATACTGATGTCATCACTGTCTGCTTCACCAATTTTCTATCCACCTGCATATGTACAGCCATCGGGGTTTAACTCTTAGTAGCATAAAATAATCAGGTAGCCAAAAGAAAACGCCAGTTTACATACAGTAATCAGATAGCAGCCACATTTTCTGATATATTATTAAACCACACGTTTTGATGAAATTGAATGATTTTAAATCTAATGTTACGATATCCACTTTGTTTTAATAAGATAAGCATCAAAAGACTGTACTGAAGAGTTGTAAAATCAACCTGATCTACTAATACTTTCGCAAGCAATGCCTCTGGAAAAACTGCAGGATCCTTCCTGTGCATCCCTTCGCATGATTTCCAGTACCCTGCACCGAGAATGACACTTTTTCATGAATAAATTACTTAATCATGACATGTTGACAGCTTACACGTAAATTGAGAAAAGTAATACTCATGCGTAGAGTGAAGAGGTTCTACTACTATACTCATCATGTGATACCTCTGCCCTAGTCATAAACAACTTACCTAGCAGCTATTCCTGAGTATACATCTGCAGGCTTCTCTCCTGCAACAAGATTGACGGCAGCTGCTCCCAACTGAATGGAAAATTTCCAATGAGAAAAAAGACTCCAAACTAACGCATACAATTTCCCAATATACCATAAGTAGACATGGGAGTGAGGGAGTGAAGTTGGGTGGGGGCGTTCACGTATGACCTTCTCTAAAGTAAATTGAGAGTAAGAAAGTACCTTGTCTCTTCCAAGGGCAGCATAGTGTTGTAAACCATTGCAAGAGCCATCCTAGAGAAAATCAATTAAAAATCAAGAAATGTAAAATATTATATTCCAGATTATATCACTGCAGATGAGTAATGATAAGGTAGACACAACTCATATCTGAAAGGAGC